GAACATCACCAGGACTCCACTGCCCTCTCTGCAAAGCATTTATCACTGCAGGGTGCGTAGGAAAGCTGCCTCCATCCTCAGAGATTCCACCCACCCCCAGCACGGACTGTTCACCTCCCTACCCTCTAGCTGGAGGTTCAGAAGTGTGAAGTGTAGGACCACTAGACTGAAAAACTCTTTCTTTCCCTCTGCCATCAGACTCCTAAACAGCTGAGGAGTTTATTACCAGGTAATAAGTCATGTACTGTTTACATTCTCAGTTTGCACATTGACTGCTGCACATGCTGCTCCCATGCAGCATACATTCTCTGTTATATTCTTATACATTTTTATTATATTGCTGCATTTGCTTAAAGTGCCTTAGATTTTGTGTTACTTATTTATCTACTTTATATTTCATTTGTATTTTGTGGCATTCATGTGGACAGCAAAGTAAGAATTTCATTGTGCAGGGAAACACGTTTCCTAACTGCATATGACAAAATAAATACTTTGAACTTTGAACATTACACAATACACGCACGTTTGTGAATACTGCTATTGAGTCATGTTTCTGATAGAGCTCTGTTTTATAAACATTTTTGTTCTGGCAACCGTATAATATCCCATGATGAGGAATGTGAGTCTCACAGAAATAGGGTCAGTTGTGCACTGGCTGTGTATCATGACTTTTATTCTCTTTGTGTTGTTTGTTCATCCCCCTTTTGTTCAGCATAGGATGAAAATACCTACCCTCTCCATCCTCCTCCTCCTCTTCTCCTGCATTCTCCTCATCCTCTTCTGCCTCATTCTGCTGCCCGCCATTCTCATCCTGATAGGGTGAAACAAAGTTGTATTGGTCAGCAGCAGACAGACAGGCATTCATGTTCTACAGAGCTGAGGGAGGAAAAAGAAGCTATCCCTACAGCTTTGCCGTTGGCAGCAGCGTCCTCTCCATTTTCTGTCTCTTCAGTATGTTTCTTCTCCTTCAGCTCCTGCAAGAAAACGTACTCTTAGACACACATGTCCAGTTTTATGAATGTAGTGTTCTGTAAGTGACACAAGAAAAACTAAAGGACCTATTCTGACAATATCTGTTTTCAGATTAACTTTATTAATGAGATGGAAAGACTGACATTCAGCTCTGCATCGAAATAATGCACAAAATGTTTACATTCCTCTATGTTCCGATCACTGTCATCGTATAGTCTTTCTGTCATGTTCTTGGCTCTGTGGTCAAACCGTCTAGAAACTGACTGTAACATTCATCTTTTTTATAAAGCAGATGATGAATTAGTTTCTTAAATGTTTCAGGTTTATTTATATACAGTATATACATCAATTTACATTAAGATTAAAAGTAATATTGTACTCTGTGTTGTAATACTTTACAGACAAATTAAAGACATTCTATCAGGAACTGCAAAAGCTGCTCTAGGAAGTTACATTTTCACACATCTCTAGCTGGAAATCAAAGGGCAGACATTGCTCCAGTTACAGCTGGAAAACAATTAATGTGGTTTGGTATTGGCTCCATTCCTTAGAGGCAGGTTTTTAATTGGTAATAGGCACAAGTGTATCCTGCTGACAGTGACTGTAAACGGTTACAGGTGTGTTCTCCTTCCCTCTAGACCAGAGGTGGCCTTTTACAGACAGGTGGTGCTTTGAAGTGCAGACCTCTTCTTCTTTCTAAGTCCCTCCCGCCTCCAGCTGCCTGCCCGAAATTTTCTGTGCTGCAGTTTAGCTCACTGTTTATTAGTCACACCAGTGGAAGACTACAGCTCCCTGCTGCAAAGAAGCTGATTATACTTAGTCAGCTAATTCGAACAGGTGCCAAAGTAAGTAAATGTTTCACTTATGACAAAGCACCATATCCCAGTGATACAGACCTTCAATGCAATGTACCTGAACAAAGCTATGTATCTCAGTTAGGGCTGTCAAAGTATGGGGGATAACACGTTAAGGCAAATTACTTTTAATGCCACAAATTTTTTGATTCGAGATTAACGCACACAATGATGACCCTCGACCCACCCTGTAGTCTGGGAAATCATGAAGGATGATGGATAAAGAAAAGGGTCTTTTGAATGGTAAGTTTAGCTTCCAGATTTTCTTGACAAGACCAAAGTTATTTGCATTTACTGTCAATGTGAGCTCAGTTACCACCGGAGTATGTCGAGTCTCAGACCACTTGCTGGCCAAGCACACAGCTGATGCAGAGAGCCGTCCTCCCCCTCACCAAAGGCAGACCACGCTGGACAGTTTGCATCAGAGACACCTGGACAACTCTACAGCAACAAACTTTCAACAGTGACAGCTAAATGGGCGGCTACAGCTTACAGGCTGATCAACACTGTGGAGGACGAGGGTCTGCTTGAAATAATTTGCATTTATCCAAAGACTGTACATATGAATTGCCTACGAGAGCCACCACTGTAACCAAGATACACAACTTGTATGAAGACAAGAAAGTTCAAGCGGAGGAGGTGTTGGTGCAGACAAATGCTGTTGCTCTCACTGGAGACTACTGGACTTCTCTCAGTACTCTGTTACCTCAGGGTCCCTTTAAGGTACATTTAGGACCAGTGGTGGAAGAAGAACTTGGATCCTTTACTTCAGTAAAAGTAGAAATACAACAGTGTAAAAATACTAGTAACTAAAATAATAAAATAAATGTAATGGAGTAAAAAATACAATAGTTGCTTCTAAAATGTAGTGAAGACAAGGTATGAAGTAACAGAAAATGAAAATACTCAAGTATGTACAGTACTTCAATAAGTGTACTTGTTACTTTCCACAGCTGTTTAGAACAGATTTAAAAAGTGTGGTTCATTTCAAGTTAATCACAAGTTAGCTATGGACAATAATGCAATTAATCGCCTTTTAGTATTTAATCAATTTACTTGATTAGTCAGTTGTATTGACTAATGTCAATACATGGTAGTACACGTGTGTATTACTAAATTATAGGTTTACTACTACATTAAGCTTCACTGTATCCACCATAACTAGCAGCTCATCACCATAACTACAGAAACACCCACACACCCTCGGTGTGTGTGCGTGTGTGTCTACCGGTGAACACTAGCCTGTGTGCTGATCTTGACGCTTTCCCTCCAGGCTTGTGAAAGACAAGGACCAGTGTAGCAGAACACACGTTGCTCTTCTACACTACCTGACTATCTGTGTTCCTCTAGCGCCCCCCTGCGGCTTGTAGTCGAACCCAGCGCTATACGCGCGCTTCAAATGAGACGGGCACGATGGGCAGTGGCCCGGTGCACAGCCCAGCAGCCGGAGGAGAGCACGGGTTGTGTGTTTGGCCTATGGCCTATAGCCTATACATATTAGCAGTAGTAACACTACAGCTACACTTTCGAACACTTAAGTTATTAACTCTCACCCGCGGCCTCGTATTTAAACCAGACGGCATTTTAAAGACATCGGAGGCTCCAAAACAAAACTGGGCGCTGGGGGAAACCAACATGAGCCGCCTTGGCATCACACACTCACCATAACACGCATCTGCAGGAGGACGGCGGCGTTCACGGGACCTTGTGGCCGATATTTCTCAGAGAAAAGCGCGATCTCGGACGAGAGCGGGACGTGCGACATTGTGGCCAATCTCCCGTCGACCGTCGGGAAAAGCCAGAGCCGTAAACTATGGTTATTGTTCTGTCACGTTTCCGAGCGGAGTTGCAGCCTGACGAGACTGGAGTGAACAGTTATTATGCATAGTTCCTAATAGATGCGATAGTAGCCAAGGTCGTTTTAACACACAGTTCTGTCCGAGCTCTCCAATACAAAAATCATTCCAAATATCAAGTTAACATGCAATTTAAAATGCTTATTTAAATATGCATGTCCACAAGAATACGTGTGGCACAACGCCGATTGTTATTGATCTGCAGCCATTTCTTCCGAGATTATCTGGCATGCAAAAATAAAACGCGGGTGTCCAAACAAGACCTGGCTGTTTTCTATTATTCTACACAAGGTTGATATCCCCACAGTCCTGCATCGACACAGCGAGCGGTGGGCGGGAGCCTCGTTAATAAAATGCCTAATTGTCGTTAAATTGCTGCATTGATTAAGAGTGGCTCCAGATTCTTCACAGAGGGCACAAAATAACACTTAATAAGCCTGGGCCGACTGAAATGACAGATCCCTCAGTGGATGGTCCCACAGCCCGCCTGTCCAACCTCTTCATGTCAGAGGCAGCGGCCCAGAAATGAAGCCCACTGAGGAAGCTGCTGTGTTTTTCTTTTTCCTAAACCGGTGGACTGCCAGCTCCTCATCCATTCACACGGCGGCTTTAACATTACAGCAATGCAGAGATTAATGTCGAAACGTTTAGAAGACAGCAGTATAGGCTAGTTTTACTCATCTGGATCGTTTCTATGCCCGCACTGTGCTTAAAATAGCCAAATTACCAATATCCAGTTATATTTAGTTACAAAAGCAGCGTCCTCATCTCGCCTTGTCCTTACCGTGAGGCTCAGTTCTCCGCTGCTTTCTACTTTACTGTCCGCCATGTTCTATATAGAAAAACAAATGTATATCCAGTCAGAGTCGCCTAATGCACAATTTCAAAACAGAAGTAAAGCTTTTACTGCAGTTTTCCTTGAGCAAAGTCGGAGTGTGCCAAGCGGTGTGTCAACCAGCGGAGATCCTGCCTTTATAGACGAGTGGGAGGACAGAAGGATGCCTGGACGTGCACGGTAATTGGACGGTTCGCCCTGGAAATATTCCGCCTTCAGAAGGAGCTGGAAATATTCAGCTTGCAATTGGCCAAAGGGAAAACAATAGACGCACACGCGCGCGCGTTACCTCGGTATGGATCTAAGCAAGTTTTTAATCTTCAGTCTGTCAGATTTGTGACAGACATGTTCATAATCCCTGATAAGTGGATTGTCATTTGCTCAGTTTACCACAAACAGACCCACTGCTGGTACTGCCACCTGTACTGCCACTGTACTGGAGGAAGAACTATATTTACAGTACAGCTAAAGTCAAAAGTACTCATGTAAAATACCCCATCACTACATTATAGCCTCACATGCACATTTTTACTTTAGTAAAAGTAGCAAAGTAACAAATAAGTAAAGGCAATCATTATACTAAATGACTTTCAGCCTTGTTGGAAGCACTAAGTTACATTCTGATGTTGTACAGTACCTGGTCTACAAGGAGCTGCAACTACTTTAAATACACTCAGTTGCTCTGCCAGTCACCAAATGCTTCTGGCCAAGTCTGAAATCTTCATTACAATCTTTTTATGAGTCACTGCATATGGAAAAGGTTTCCCTCTGACTCCAAGGATTAAAACTGCACAGTGTGGAATTAATCAAGCAAAATCACAAGTACTCGAAACCAATGTAAATTAGTATTCTAAGTATTGTACTTGTAACTGTAAAGCATTTTATTTAAGTACCATCCAGTAAGTTGTACTCATAGTTCCCACTGTTATTGTAACGTCTAACTGTTACTGGTACTTCCATTGAAACTGGCCTACTGCAAATACTACTGCAACTGTACTGCTATTGCAGTTATTACTGCGACCATATTTGCACTACACTGCTACTGCAGCTATGACTAAAACTCTTTCATAGTCTAGTACTGCTGCTTTAACCTTTATTACTGATTACGACTATTATTAGCTAATATTCCTACTTCAACAACTCCCAGCTATTAATGGTAAGACTACAGGTTAGACTCGACACAGTCTTTATACAGTGGTAAAATAATTGTTTTCCATTTACATTGTTTTATTTTTTCTTATTGGTCTCAGCAATTATTGCTCCTGCAATGTTGTTGTTGTAGCTCTTGGATATATCCTACCTATAGATCAATTGTATAGCATAACAGAGGAGGGAGGAGGGGAGACGTCAGAGAGAGGGGGAGAGCACAAGAACAAGAGAGGAAGAGAGAAAGAGAGAATCGATACTCGGGCGAGAGAGGGTTGCAGAGGGAAGAAGGTGGGACGGAGTGTCATTAAAGGAGGAGAGGTGTCCCGGAGGGGTTGACAACTTGAGAAGGAAATGGGGGAGAGATGTCCGAGGTGTGCATTTGTAGAATTCACATTTTTCAGTAGGCAAGGCTGCATAATATATTGAAACACCGATAAAGAAAATACAAATGACATAAAAGTTAAACATGAAAAAGGACAGGTAGAAACGACTATTACGTTCATTGAAATTTCTTCTCTAAAACGTCAGAAAGCATTGTGTTATACTTGAACGTGTGTAACCGCTGTCATATGTTCGTCCCTCACCAATATGGCGGCATTTAGAGTCCATGTGACGTTGAGATTGTTAAACATTTCAACTGATTGGTTAGTGAAATGCAGTGAACGTAAGGTTGACGCTTTGCGCCCGATGAGTGGCTGAAGCACCTGTCAATCAGCCAGAGCACTGTTACCACAGGGGGTGTAGCCTTAAGTGCTGGATCGAATCAGAAGCGGAGGGGCTGGCTGTTTCAGAGAAAGGCTGAAATTCTCTGAAATCTGGCTTTAAATTAGTTTAAACTAAACTAAATTGTTTTAAGCATATCTGTGGATGATGTCAGTGTCCTCCTCCTTCATCGTTTCTCCTAGTTGTCATAGAAAGATTATCTGTTTCATTCATTTGTTCGTTCAGTCTCTTGCTGTTTCACTAATGTAGTGTTACTTAAAAATGTCACATGCGAAAATCCACATCCTCATGCAAACATTCAATAAGGAAATAATCTTGTTGATCTTGATTTCACCCACATCACAACATGTTTATCAGATTTCTTTGTATAGTGTTTTTTTATTCTATACTCATCTTCTAAGTTTTCAAATGGATCAGACGTCTGAAATCTAGTCAAAAGTCAGAGAATAAAAGATGTCTTTTTGTGACCCTTGAAAAGACTACTATGCAAAGATATCTTTTCTGAGGTCAGGCACCTCCACAGGGACGCCAAATAAATAAGAGCGGTCATAACATGAGGAATGGGAGAGGAATAAAAACATTCACAGTTAGCTTACATACATGTCTTTAGTTTTTAGACTTTTATCTTAATAAATTACTTTACATCTTTAGGCCTTGAGGAACTAGAAGGAAACTGTCTCTGGTTTAACTGCTAATGCTCAGACATCTGAAGACACCACAAGGATCCTCAATTAACAGTTTTGTGTGAGTGGTCACAGGGCTAAAGTGATAACAACTGGATACATTTTTTTAACAGCCTCAGGTTTGTTTGCTTTTTTAAATGTAAAGTATTATTCAGTAGTAAGTAAATACATGCACCCAGTTGTCAGTTTATTAGATGCACATACAGTAGCTAAATAAATCAATCTAATCCAACAGTCCTGCAATAAACCCTTCTCCACGAAGGTGATTACTGTTTCAGAGAGGTGTTGATTCAACTGCATGATCACTTTGGAAACTGTAGTTTATACTGATAGGTGTTTCTGGTATTTTTATCCACTCTATATCAATGAGGCTAGTCTAAACAACATGAACAGCTCTCTGTGTAACACAGAAGTACAAACAACTCGCTGCCTTCCACCATTAGTTAACCCAGCTGAACACCATTGTCAAAACACCACATCAGGAATGATCTTTTCATAAAATGGTGTTCATTTTAGCTTGTCAGAGTTGGAGAAGCTATGACATGGACTACTGAATCTGTTCTGGAGGCTAGTGGTAGAATAACACCTAAAAAATACTCAGTGTTGCTTTATGGCTGGGGTGGCTGTGGCTCATGAGGTAGGGCAGTTGTCTCCTGACCAGCAAGTTGGTGGTTTGACTCCCAGTCTCCCCACATGCCTAAGTGTCCCTGAGCAAGACGCTGAACCCTGAATAGCTCCCAGTGGCTTTACTAGCGCCGTTGTGTGGCAGTCTGTCGTCAGCGGTGTGTGAATGTTGTGTGTGAATGGTGTATCATCTCCTGTAAAGTGCTTTGGCCAGTGCAACACACTGTGGAAAAATGCACTATATAAATACAGTCCATTTATTTTTAAAGCTGTCACCCATTTGTAGATTTAAGAGTGAGTGCTAAGGCCAGGAAGTCAACAGATAAAAAGCAAGTAGAATGCCTGTAAAGTTGCTGAACAATTAATGATACACTAATGGACTAAAAACAAACAAGTGATCCATAATTGATATCAGTGATTCAGTAATGAATCATTATAGAAATTATATTGATATAATTGTGAAGAAATGTGTGCACCGCACACAACTCTGGTAATAACACCATAAAGTGAGTGTAAAGCCTTTCTCTGTTCAAAGATGGTCTCCGCTGGTGGGTGTAGATCATGGGCATAGGTTTGGTCTCAACACCGGTAGGGATGATGGCCACTGCCCCCGAACCTACCCCTTAGGTCCCCCACCCCCTCTGAATTAGAGCCTCACCTGAAGCACTGAGGATGCACCTGTTCCCTCACCAGCCTGCTCTGTTTCTCTTGCCTGATGCTGCTTCTGACATACAAAACAATTCCTTTCCATGGGGTTTCTAGCCTGTCTATAATGATGACTAACAGTTACTGAACGGCCTGTTTTTCCCAATAAAATTCCAACAAAATGATACAAAAACATGTTTTTTCCAAACTAACTATTGTAGTATAACCAACAGATGGCCATTAATGTGGATGCGATTTTGGTGACACTACACTAGGTAGGAGTAAAGTTACTGAATAGTTTTGTAGTAGGCATCTCTCTTTTCAGTGCTGCACTTTGTAGACAGTCCCTACGTGCTCATGCACATTGAGACTAGTGTTAATTGTCTGGAACAGAGGATGGCTCGTTTTGATAAAAATGAGCTTGTACCTTGTTGTCTACATTACTATGAAACAAAAGAGGCATCATTTCTATTTTAGCAACGTTTCACTATTGATCCAGAAACTTCGAATCTCTGAATATCTCTCCAATTTTATCAAAGTCCGCCAAGATAACATAATGCTGTCAGCACAGTGACTGACAGCTGTCACCTCCACCATGTCTGGGAGCAAAGATGACACTTGCACATATCGTGAGCTTTAGATCACTCCCTCTGTTTCAGTCATTCAGGCGCATGATATACTGTAATATGACTTCACTCCCAACGATAATGCACACAGGTTTGCCCAAACATCGGTAGGGACATGTCTCTACTGTCAGCATGCAAAATTACGCCCTTGGTGTAGATGCCCTCCTTGTTCCCTCTCCGGTCATCCACTCTTCTTAGTTAATGACCTTTGATCCCTTCTCAGTTTGTGCTGTGACAGGTTTAGTTCAGGCATTGTTGATTTCATTCAGCTCATTCAGTTTCTTTTGGAGTGTGCTGATTCCTTCAGACCTGAATACTAGCAAGTCCCACAGACTTCTGGCGGTCCCCAGTGAGTTAGCAGCGTCTGCTCTGATGTCTCATCAGTCACTCGTCTGTTCTTTACAGCGCCCTTCATGGTGTCAGCAATATAATTCAAGTACAGTAAGTAACAAACATGCTAGCATTCCACAGCTGCTTAGCAAGTGGTTCAGTTTAACCGATAACACAGAGTACCAGGCCCTGTGACGTTAACTGTCAAAAAAAAAAGTACTGTAGTTTGTCGTAGTAACCTAGTTACACCACTAGACGGTGCCTCTGGCTGTTTAATGAGATGGTCTTACAAAGTTGTTCTTTACACTGCAGGTGTTGCTAGAGTTTGACCTTTTGAGTTTGTCCTCATCTCTGCATTTTGGCAGTGGGTGAAGTTTGTGCTCTACAATGAACAAGTCACTCTGGTAGCATGCTTACATAACTGAATTGATCTGGCCAGTAGTTGAATAGCGACTGACAGGAAACCAATTAATTTTAAAGTCATTTTTTTTGTCTTGTTTTGTTTGTAACCCAAGTAACATGGTGTTTACTTCATCTTTAAATTCCAAAGTTATAGATTTTGTTAGTTGTTAACACTTTTATTATGAATAAATATACCTCACAAATTATTAGTGATTAACCAATAATTGATTATTGGTGATATGATCAAACAAGAAATAAACAGCAATTTTAATATCTTGTGCTTCTGTTGTCTGGTGAGAGGTTGCTATGGGACAAAATATAAGAGGATCCAGAATATGAGACGATTTTTGTCCTCCCAGTGAAAATTGTGAAAATTAATATCCTCTGATATGTGCCTGCATGAATGAGGGAACATTAGACAGCTTCTTCAGACTCACAGTGAGGGAAGACAAATAATCAACAAATCAGAGTAGCCCTATTTCAGAAAAAGCTTAAACATATTACTATGAGCACTTTGGGAGGCTTAGGCCCACTTTTGTGCGTGAATATTTTACATATATTTGGCACCTCTGTGTAAAATGTGGCCCCTTTGTGGCCCAATTTGGAAAAATCCTACATCAGCCAAAGATGTTATAAGGTGCATGTGACCTTACCTGACAGAAAGACCACACACACATCATGTTATTACAACACTGAATGACTTTAATCTCGTCATATTAAAACAATCTATTTTACACTCAGTTTAACGCTAAGAAAAAAATCATAACATCAATACAGTGAAATGCATGTGATGTCAAAGTTGAAAACCATAGTCAGGATGTATGGAGCACAGCTGCATTAAACGCCTTAAGCAGCTGTTAAAATCTGGGTAAGACTGTATACAGATGAACTACCGGCATTACATGATATTTTTCATTCTACAGCTGATGACGATTTAGCTGAAAGTTGAATATTTTAAGTATACCTCTGAAGGTCAAGTACAAACACATAGATATGCAATCAAAACCCTCTTTTGTTTGCTAATTTCCTTCAAACACAGTGCTGTTCAGTTGTATGTCATTTCATCCTTACAACAATGTGCAGGTTTGTGCTCCAAACAATACAGGAAAGAGGCTATCCAGTTAAACCAGTGACTCTCGTGGACTGGAAAAAAAGTCACTTTGTCCTCATCGCACTACAGGTAAAGCCATTTTTTTACACTACTTCATGTATTCATAAAGCAGGAAAGGTTTTGTGGGTAGAAGCTGTGTATCACCTCAGAGGCTGCCTGCAAAGGCGTGTCTTTCAGAGGACTAAGGCCCCAATCAGACAGAGTGCATTTTAGCAGCATGGGGGGGCTTTTTGTAGCCATTTTCAATGAAAGTCAAGTGTTTTACGCACTGGTTATGCATTGCTGAGCGCCTCATCGCACCTCCAGTTGAAAAAGCTTAAACTCAGATCAGAAAAACGCCCAACATCATTAGCATTTTTTTCCCTATTGTCCAGTCAGGTGAATTGAGAGGCGAGTGTTCTGTGGTGGTCATCCAAAATAGGCCTAAACCACAGACAAATGCTCAGCTGCCCAGCAGGACAGACGGACCATATTGGTGGTGGTCATTTTGGTGACAGGAGGCAGACTGACAGCAGATTGTCACAATGCACCAGACTCATCCTAAAATAGCCTGGTAGCATCCATCATCCGTGTAATTTCCGCTTTCTGAGGGTGTCCTATACCCACAAGGTTCTGTGTCCAGTGTACTGGAAAACAGCCTGTCAGCCTCAGTCAGACAAAAGCAACTGCCTTCTGCCTGTCCATGTTTTATGCTTAGATAATAAGATAAGACAACAATTATATATCTTTTATGATTAGATAATGATGAATGTTTATATAAATGTTTAAATAGGCTAGATGTTTAAATACTCGTTAGGCAAAGCACAGTGATTCTGTGGTTGCCTAGTAACAATAAAAAAAGAAAGACGCTGCAAGCTGCTTTTTTGACACAAAAAAGGCAGCGCACATGCCTCGTGTTTTGTAACCTGCAAAACGTGCTCCGTCTGATCAGGGCCTAAAGCTATATCGGCACCTTATTTGGCCTCACACACACACCACCACTCATGGTGCGTTCAGGCAGCCCTGTCAACCTGTAAAAGTGGAAATGTCAGAGTTGAGATGTTGGTTGACAAAGTAAATGTCTAAATAAATCCACATAGCTTCAATTTCTCTGAGAGAACAATTTTCTTACTTTACAAGTAAAGAAACCCTGAGCAGTGCAAAGGATTGTGGGATATTAAAGACTAAACAATATACCTGTTGTGCCCTACAAATGTATACAAAGTGAGGCTGCATTTCACTGGGCCTTGGAAACGAGACGGCCTTATTTACCCATGAGGATCAATGTTGTCAGGAAATAGAGACTTCACTGAAGGTAGCCTCTGGAATGGGACGCAGCTAAAAAATGTTGAAAACCTCTTGAACAAAACTCAAAGAAAATGAGCTGCATCTTCACTCAAGTTTGATGTGGAGCTTGTGTTTAAACAGGTGACACACGGTGAAGACTGTTTTCATGATCACAGAAGGTTACAAGCCTAATGTATAATTCCTGAGTAAATGCAACCTGGGAGTGAGGGCAGGATTTCAAAACTTTCAGAGTGGCTCCCTGGCTGACTTGAGATCAATGGTAGTGTATTTACAGTGGAACAGTCTGGAGGGGAAAATGCAGAGAGACAATCTTGGAACAGGGGAGGTCTCTCTTCTCCAATACCCTCTCCTCCCAAGGTCTAGAAGAAGTTGTCAGGTTAACACTAAACAAAAGAACAACCCAACATAAAGCTCACTTCACTGACTCTGAGGCCACATTTGGGCTTTACCCAAATGTGCTGATCCCAAGTCAGCAATGAACTCTTGCCAATTGTAGCTAACCTTGGAAATTTATAGACCTCGGCGGGCATCTGCAATTTTGGACAATAGGCCATGAGTCAAAGGTCAGACGTAGAAAAGTCGTACCCTGGAGGTACTGACATGGAGGTCATCATCGTAGAACTTGGTCTCTATGATCACATTACCACTGGAACACAAAGACACATGTCAACTTCAGCTGAAGTATTAAACCTCTCTGACAATTTCACTAGTGTCACTGCCACAAAAACTGGATGCAATATGACATTACCATGAATTTGTACTGTTTTGATTGCAAGAATCAATACAAGATAACTTCAGCTGATTTCAACTTAGGTCTTAATGCTGTAGCATTGGTCATCTTTCCTGTCAGTTATGACAACACTGTACTCACTAAGTAAATAGCTTAACAGAGCTGACAAAATGTTGACATCAACTGAAGTCTGATAAACTTGAGCGGTTCGAATGACTTATCCAAGCCTATACCAGCTTGACTTTGAGTATGAAAGTATGAAATGTCACTCAAAAACAGATGCACACAACTACAGTAAATACAGCGGCTCAAAGTTTAAGCAGGAAGTGTGTCCGTAAATCTACGATGTGAACATCTTAGATAATCATCTCATCATTTGTTCTCTCTTCTAAATAAGTTTGTCTATCCTGCTGGTTTGAATGACAAGCCAACAGATTAGAGCCATCAGTTTATTGTGGTGCTGTCGATGTGTTCTCAGATATCGGCTACACAATGTTATTAGAATTGATGGACAAAACTATGAGAAAGAGTTGCGTTAAATCTGTAGAGTTTGCCAAATCCGCACAAAATGTCACAAAAAATGATCATATCATCATAATGCATAATAAACTGCATCAAACCTGATAACATCCATGTAATGTTGGTATATTACATGTAGTTCATATATAGATGTTAATAAACTGCATCAAACCTGATAACATGCATGTAATGTTGGCATATTAGATGTAGTTCAAGGAACAACAGCTATATATGACGGTAGAGATGAGAAATATTATACTGCATGTGTCAGCAGTAAAGATAAGATAAGAGAAAGATAAAGGGTTTAGACTCACGTTAAAACATTGGCTGGCATCATCTGGGACTCTGGAGCGGCTTCTATCAGAGACTGCCACGTGTTGGTGGAGTTGGGGATGACAAAACCAAACTCAAAGAACCATTCTGGACATAGAGAGACAGACACAGAGTTCAGTGCTGCTTTTACAACATTCAATATATATTATTAGGACCCCTGGGTTTGTGCTGTGTGTTAGTATACCATAATGTAAATAATGTTTCAGAGACTTTTTCTCTCACTGGTAGAAACCAGAAACACAAACAGGTTGTGCTAGTGTGGATTGTGCATTGCCCCCCTGGGCTCTCTGTAACCTCGCCTCTGTGCATCAGGACCCCAGGGACAGCGCTCCAAACACAGTAACAGGGAAGTGACAAAACTAACAATATACACAAGATACGCAGCTAACTGGGCAGCATGTTGAAGTTATAGCAGATGATGTGTGCATTACTGTCCAACCATCTCAAATGTGCTTTGATAGGTGTGTGTGTGTGTGTGTGTGTGTTGGGGGGTGGGGTCGAAAGATTGAAGATCTAAAGTGTGGGATTTATCTTGCCAGTCACTGACAGTGACATGCTACTGAATTTAACAGTAAAACCATACAAAACACAACAAGCCATAGCTCTGACTCTGCCTTTCTCATGCTCAAAGCACATTCACATATTGACTGACAGCAGTGAGCTTCCACCCTGACAGTGGCCTTTTCTGATTGGTTAAGAGCGTTATCCTGCTCAAAAACCTTTAGAAGGGAATATCTCTGCACTGCTACCAGGCTGTTTGAAGGGTCTGGGTCACAGGGGCATTGGACAGCAACTCTCCCTATCGATAATCGATATAAGTTCTGGGGGATGTTTCTACTAGAAAATATTTTTAAATGCTACATATTGTCACTCTAACCTCTGCTGACCTGCTGTAGCCTAGCCTGCTGCATTAGGTTTTGTGTCTTCTGCCTGCTGCAGTACTGTCGGACAAGTGAGTTTTGAAGTTGAGATGCGATTAGAAGTTGTTCTGAACGTGGGATTTCCTGATCCTGATGCACTCACTTCACCAGGAGGACCCCTGACAGTAATTTGCAACAGGTTTAATAAATATCCACACTGTTGACACCCTTGAAGTCTAACAAGCACACTGAATCCATTTCCTTCCTTTTTGACAGTTTTGAAACTTACACTGCCTATATCCACTATTAACTTGCTAGCAGTCCGCATCTTCCTCACCTCTGTTGGTGCCTTGCTGCGTTTCTTGGCATATTATTTTTATTAGCAGATCAGAGGAATAGTGTCAAATGTGAACGTACATCATGTCGCCCATGTGCAAGACAGCAAATAAAAAGGTGACAAAACACCGCAGGGTACCTTTAATTGACTGACCTTCAGGGTTTTGGCCCTGTAAGCAGTCCAGCGTTTTGGCTGATTACCTTCTAGACACTGTCCTTTGAAGAAAACCTTCTGCTCCAGTCGGAACTTCTCCAGTTTCTCTGAAGAAGAAAAGTTCAGTTCTCTAGACACCGCTTTACACTTCAGGATCTTCTTTGGGACACGAGCTGGGGAGACAATGAGAATCTACAATGAACTGTAACGACAGCAAGGCCAAATTAGTTTCCAAAGTGTAGAAGAGAGGCTCACCTGAGGAGTTATCGATTTAAGACTTGCAACTTGGTGAACTAAAAAAAATGTAACTAACAGTAAGCAGACTTTTCAAAAGCTAGCCACTTTTTTTAAGGTCCTCATTTCCCCTTTAAGATTACAATGCATAGAAATTAGGATTATCTTTAGTGCTTCAAAAAGCCAATAAGCCTTTGAATCATTGAATCCTTGTGCATAATTACAGTGAGAAAGTAGATATTACAAATTAGGCTGAAGTTCACACTGAACGGTTTGAGTACTAGCCAGTGATTATGTGATAATGGCCTATTTGTCTCTGTCTTCATTTCAAAATATTCATGGTAAACTAGCCTCATATACAGTAAAACTCATATGATGCGTACATGGTTACGTTTTTGCTTTAATATAGCACATCCACAAAAACATGACAATAGTTTTTTATGATGTTACCTGTGTCAGGAGGCTTCTGTACTGTTATGCTGAACCTGTGCTGTCAGTTGATGTTTTTGGACAACACAGTTAATTTTTCTACCTGTGCAGCTAACTTTGTGTAGAGATGTGTTTATAATAGCTGTTAGCTGTCTCAGTAAGATTATCTGATAGAAATGTCTATCAAAGGTAGTGTGGGATTAAAAGTGTAGGCTAATGCTACAAGTTGCATAGCTAAAAATTCACCTCAAAACAACAATTTCACTGGTTTCCAGCTGCTAAAACATGGAAAATGTCCAAATATAAGCTATTATATCATTGTGGAAACCTATATGCACTATCGCCTGTATATTTGTTTTTTTAAATATCCCAAACTATTACTGAAGCATGACTGATAAGATTCCAGTTGAAGGAACTTTAAGTCTCACCCACTGGTATTTGATTCATTCTGCTTTTGTGAATGAGGCCCATCATATTTATCGAATCATCTTGACTTAGATGAAGATCAGATCATTTCCTGATCATTTAATGCGAAATACCAGGTCATTCTGAAAGGTTCACACTCTCTATGTGTGTGAATGTACCTTCATGTTCTACTCCTGGAACAGAGAGGTCCTCTGTTCCCTGCCACAGCACTTTGCCCGTCTCTGCATCTCGAAGGTTCATCCAGTTTCTGACGTAAAAAGGTTAAATGACAACAACCAAAGTAAAGAATATTTCAAATTGGATATCTTAAGCAGAGCTATATGCTGTGTCTTGGGTGTGCATAAAATGTTTTTAACAGAAGCACTGTTTTATTTCCGCAGCATTATTTTACACTATCAGAAGAGATTTGGGAGTATTTGACTTGAATATTTGGATGTAGGGCTGGGCAATAAAATGATAATAGTTATTACAATGAACATATCACTGAGAATCTATAATTAGTTACACTTTATGTATTTTTCCTTGTGAATAAGACAAAGGTCTGCACTTTATAGAAGGTACAGTGAGGAACAGAAGTATTTGAACACCCTGCGATT